TGCATCACTCAAATAATCAAAATGAAACTAAACTAAGTCAGTCACAGGTTTTCTTCAATCACAGTCATAAACCCTTCGTCAGCATCCAAAAATGGCTCACTCCCAATTGTAATCTCTGAGATAGAGAGAGAGAGAGTAGAAATCCAACGCACAGCAGCGGCCTTTTACGCCGTAGAATCTCTTAACGAAGCTCACCCTATCTGCCAAAAGTTTATTTTTGCTTTTTCTCTGTGCTGGGACCTGCCGAAAGTATTTTCCTTTTCTCTTTTTTCTGATTTTTTTTTTCCTGGGTTGGTGGGAAAGAGGTCAAGAAATGGCGGAGGTGGCGCCGCAGCTGACGCCGGAGGAAGAGAAGCAAACCATTAGGGATATTGCTGTTGCCGCCGAAGCCCAGACTAAAGTCGGCGATATATTCTATCTAATCAACCAACGGTAATTTTGGCTCTCTTTTTTTTTGGTCAATCGTATGTTTTACAGATCTACTTTGAAATTGATTATATTTTACCTCGGATTGGCTCTGGCTAAATCTCATAGCCGTGATGAGTGGCTTGCCAGAGGGGATTAGGGTTGAAGCTTGAAGAGCTTTTTGGGCTTTAGGCAAGACAGTTTTATTGCGATGTTTTCAGTTGTAAATAAAAAAACATTGGCTTCTCCTCTATGTTCCATTTAAGAAATAGATGAGGTTGCTTAAGAATTTGAGTTTCTCCCCAGTTTTGATGGCTGCCTCTTTTCATCACTGCTAGATTAAGGGAAATGCAGTGGTTTTCTGTTGTAGTTTCGTGTTCACATTCAGATAATTTAGTTAATTGTTATTGGCAGAAGCATTCAGTGGGTTTTTAGTTGATGGGGTTTCATATATTATATGTTTTTTTAGTTGCTTTGTTGTCGGAGTACTTGAGTATGAAGACATCTAAAACTTGAAATCCATATCAAAGTCACATTTTGCCTAGTATGGTCATTGAAAGTCTTCAATTGAGTTTTTATTTATTAAGCATTTTATAGCTTAGTCCAAATACTGGGGGGTGGCTGGCTTGTTCGGCAGTGGCGTTTGGAAACTTTTGCTCCATTAGTTGACAAGAAAGAAATTGTTCTGATGGATTCCCTCAACAGTTTCTCTTTTATTATCAGCTACCAGGTGATATATTTTCATCTCTAAGGACTACTGTTTTTGTCAAGAGGTAAGATATAGGAGGTTCATATGTAAGAATTAATGTTTCTTCTTTCTTGTGAAGCTGCAACTTCTATAGAATCTCTGCAAGCTGTTATGTCAATTTT